ATAAAAGATGTAGGCGAAGATGTTGCCAGAATCAATTAATATGACCACATAGTTTCTGATTAATAAGAATCTGAACTCCTTTTTCAAGAACCTCTCCTTTCACATATATATTATTTCTATCTCTTATTTTAGTATTTCATTGAATGAAAAATCTGTCCATACTCCTGTTCTCTACATAAACTAGTTAAGACTAAAGACGCTTCTCTTGAACAGGAAAACGTTCATTCTCTGTTATCTTCTCTTCTGAAAGCAAAACGAAAGATACAAAAGAAATACAATAACAACAATAATTTAGAAACCCTGAAAGATATCTAAAATGGAAGTAAAAACAATAATAGAAAATAAATATTTAAAAATAAAATTACAATATCTGCTACATGATTATGTGGCATATTAAAAATATGTAAATTATATCCAAAATCTACACAAGGTAGATGATCAATCCAACAAATCACTCTTAACTTTATTCACAATGAAAGTCATAAAAAGTTTCAAAAATTTATACAGTTTTGAACATTGCTTGAATGACAATTTTTTTAAAAGCAATCCACAGCCTTGTGAGAATAATTCAGAACAAGTGAAAGCTAAGGGTCTAAATGCATAAGCAAGTATCTCACCTCCAGTTCAGGTTTGGAATGATCACCTTTGGTTACTTCAAATTTTCCGATGGGTGTAAGAGGTGCTGGTAGTAGCAGGGATTTGTCATGTTTCAAGTTCCCGTAATCTGTACATAGAGCAATAGCCAGTAACCGTCCATCATCTGTGCGAAACCCAAAAAGCTGGCCTTCCCTTGGTTCCTTCTGACGTTGCAACCGCTGGAAAAATGAAAGTTGTTAATGAGCTGACTTAGTTAGGTTATGTTGTCATATTGACTATGCTGTTCCTTCTGCTACATTTTGATATGACCTTTGTGGGATAATGTGCTTTATCATTTGCATTCTGTTTTGGGGTTTTTATTTAGGCAAAACATGGTGATTGCTGGAAAAAGAGGAAATACTCTTGGAAACTATTTTTCTGAATAAACTTACAAAAGTAAAAATGATCAAACTACCTAATATCATCTTGTAATACATGGAACTAGAAATCACTGACAGCCACGATATATTAGGGCTAAGATTTGACGCACCCAAAATTAAATTGGTCAAAACACATAGAAAACTTAAAAATAAAATCTATCAATAGAATAAACATAATGAAAAAGATCATATAACTGGGGAGCAAAAAGGGAAACTCTGTTTAAGTTTTATGACATTTATGTAAAACCCAAAATGGAATATAGCCTATCCATTTATGAAACAGCAAATAAATCAGAATTTAAAAATTAGAAACAATCCAAAATATCGCAATGAGAATATCCACAGGATGTTTCAAATCCTCTCCAATAATAACACTACAAGCCCTCACAAACAAACCTCCTTTAACAGAGAGAACAAATGAACTCGCTTGTATTAAACGTAAAAATACTAGGAAAACCAGACAACTTACCAGTAAAAGAAATTATAAAAAGTATCTGTGACTACAAACCAAACAAAGATGAAAGCTCCTGGACTCATAAAGTAATTATAACTTGTAAAAAACTAAAAATCAAGATTAACACAAATAAGACCATGGCATGACATTTCCCATAAATTAGTTACAAATTTCATTGACAATTTCTCAAAAGACCTCTCCAATGAAATTATTGGGAAAAAAAGCAAAATGCTAATAAACACAAAATATAAAAACTACAGTAAAATATTCACAGATGGATTCAAAATAAATGAACCTCAGTTAACATCAGCTGCAATTTTTATCGAACAAAAGAATATCACAACAATTTGGAAACCACTAAGGAATACTCAAATTCTAGAAGCAGAATTATATGCCATAAAACAAGGCCTGAAATATATAGAGGTAAATAAACTAACAAACTCTGTGATCTTTACAGATTCACTTTCCACTGTAATGATTCTACAAACCACAAACCAGCAATTAAAATAAATCACATAAGAAATACAAAAAACAAATTTACACATTAACAATTCAAAACCATAATGCCACATTCAGTGGTTTCAAGCACAACAAAAGCAATTAGAAATGAAATAGTAGATCTTGCCAACAACTATAAGGCTAGACACCACTGATAAAATATAAAAGCAAAAATTAAAATACTTTGGGAAGAACAAGTAACCAAAAACCTGATCACAAAAAACCATCACCTCAAAGATACCACTCCACAACCATGGTGCAGATCAAAAACCAGAAAACTAGAATTCTAACAAGAATACTGACAAAACATACAAGACTCAGAAAGCATCTACACAGACTAAAACTTGAAACAGACCCAAACTGCAGATGGTGCCAACACCCAGAAGAAACGGTAGAATACCTAACATGACAATGCCCACATTTCCATTCTGACAGAACTAAACTAATAGAGGCACTAAAAAATAATAAAAATTACTAATCCTAATATCTCTTTACTCATTACAGGAGATAATCATCCATCGGTTAAAAGTACTACATTTTAAGACAAAGATCTTACAAAGAACAAGAATAGTGAATATCATATAAAACAGAGAACATAACAATAATTAACAAAAGAAAGCCTGCAATCAAAAGATAGAAGACTCCAGGAATCAAGATCCAAGGAATATAGACATAATAAGTCTAAAACACTATAAAAGAAGAAAGAATAATAATAATTTTGTAATACCAATTTGTTTCTGTGAATCAGCTGATATTCAAAATGAATTTTGAAATTTGGACACTGTGTACTTAAATGAATGAAGTCCTATTCACTATGATCATGACAGTTACAATTCTGTCAAAAGCCTGCTGCAGTTTTCCCATATTTTCAACCAAATTTATTATATGTATAATGGTACTGTTTGGCAAGTTTCCAAGATTCCACACACATACAATGTCACCCTCTGTACCTTCATTCCCTTTGGAGGTTGTTTTCTGTCTGAGCTGATAGCACAGTTGTATTTTCCCACTTCCTCTTGTCAATGAAATGTAGTGAGTGTGAGGAAGTAATTCTGGAGTTATAAAGTTGACTTTATCTGGCCTCTCAAATCTTTCCCTCTTCCCATATTCCACATCCATTCATTTCATATTCTTAAACACCAAAGTTACCTCCATTTATATCCTCTTCTTTTTCTGTTCATAGGTCTACATGCCTTTGGTGCTCTTGGAAATACCGATAAACCTCCAGCATATCTATCCTACAGAATTAGAGCTTGAACTGGTTTCTTATGTGACTATAAAATAACAGGAAGGCCTACTGTACATGAAGCCCACTTCATGGAGGTCTGTTAGTTACATAGGCCAAAGCAACTAATGTATCAATGTTATCATTAATCGAGTCACTGCAGTGTATCAATGAGTTATCACTGCTGGCATCACTGTAAAGTATAAATGTTATCATTAATGGAGTCACTGTAGTGTATCAATGAGTTATCAATGCTGGAGTCGTTACAATATATCAAGAAGATACCATAAGACTAGGCCATCGCTGTAAGTTTAATCCATTAATGCAGAATAGAAAATTGGCTACTGGTTAATAATCTGGTCTGTTGGTGTGCAATGGCAGTTTCCCCTGTTTGTGTCTGGCTCATTTCATGCTTCATGTACATTAGGCCCATAATAGCTTACAGTTTTATTTTAGAAGCAAAAGTTAAAAAAAGGTGGTTTCCCTTCATTTGAAGTGCCTATATCTAATAGTGACACCAAACAATTGAGGTCGCAACTATCTGAGAAAGCCGAACTCCCTTTGATGAGCCAATGGTGCAGGTATCTCATATGGTGCCATCTGCACCTCAATCGACTTTGATAAAAATAAGGGCAAGGGAAAAAAAAGGAAAAAAAAGAAAAAAAAAATTAAAAAAGGAAAAGAAAAAAGAAGGAAAAGGAAGACAACAAATGAGAAGTATTGCAGGTGTCTTTTAAACCTGTACCAAAAAGCTTTAGGAATCACCTTTAAAACCACCAGGAAAGGATAGGGTATGACAGTCTATCTTCAATGTTTACATCCGTAGGTGTCTATCCTCTATACCTCTGTAGTGATAAAGGGGGCCCTATTCATTTATTTATCAATTTGTCTATTTCTTTCCATCCCTAATATCTATCATGGCTTCTCCACCTGAAGAAAGACCAACAATTAACATTCTGATGTCTATTCTCTATATCTCAAGTGCATAGTATCCAGTAACATGGAAATCTCCAATTTTACCGCAACTATAATCGTAAAGGAATTAGTAAAGTGGTAATATCAATTTACATATTCCTTAATTATGCATAATATGACACTGCTAAATGTGCTCTGGTAAATAATATTGCTGAAATTATATCAATCTGTCATATGATAGCATCCCAATATAAAACCATAACAAATAGCATACATGTACTTGACTTCCCCTAACACAGAAGTGGAGGAGGGGCTGTCGATACCATACCAACTATTGGAATATTAAAAAAGAGAAAGAACTACACCATGGACAAAATAACACCGTTTATCAAATACATAATCCCGTCACTTGATTCATGCTTTGCGATCTCCATCCCTGCTTGCTCCATGACATTTACCGTTTTAGTCGCGTCACACCACGAAATGTCATAAGAGTTTCCATGTTTCCTCCCACACATTCGAAGCTAACTTGTCCCATCACACGAAAGACTCGAATACAATCCATAATGAATGGCAAGCCCTCCACATAAACGTAATCCAGCTTGAGCAGATGAAACCAGCTGGTAAATGGATGCCTCGCCTTTTTTCAATCCTACGGCTGAAACTTCAAATTAACTAAACCGATACAAACCCCAGTCAGAACCCTTCCTTCTGCTTAGTGTCATTTCATCAATCAACAGATATGACATGCGAAATAGTTCACCTGAATCAGCTGTGACAGGAGGAAGGCCCGCTTCTCCATGTTGACATGGAACAGAGCCATCTATCGGCCGAGGGAGGAAGTGCGTGACGTGTGCTTGCTTTTGGAGGGAATTTTGAAATCGTTAATTCG